ACCTCGAGGTGTCTCTCTTCTATTTATAGAATGAACTCGATGCATGTTCTTGATGGCCCGGAACGTTGAGAGGTTTCTCTATCATAAAATCTCTCATCGAGACAAAACAGTTCGAAGTTAGCTCACCAAATGCCAGCAATGTACTACCGGGCGGGCGGGAAGCAGAGGTGGGACTTCCCTCTTCCTGGTGAGCGGATTTGGGCATGTAGCCATAGATCCTTCAAAACAATAAAGGGAAGATAAAAACTCAGGCGAAAGCTTTGATCTGATGTGGCGCTAGAACTAGCACAAAAAATGAACTCTATAGAGAAAGATAGCTGCACAAAGCGGCAAAGCCCTCAATGAAAGGAAAACAAGTATATACAAGAAGAGCGACGACTATTCATTAACTTTGATAGCCAATCAGCTCTCACAATGCAATTATGACTTTTTGGAAAACATACCGACGGGGCCATTTTGGTCACTTCAAGGTTATGTCACAAGAATGATGTCACCACACCGTGTTCGTGGCATCGAGGAGTTAAATCGATTCCCTACCAACCTGACCTAAGGAAGGTATGTGATTGGAACCAGAACAACCCAATCTCAAGGGTCTCTAAGATCGAGCTCGAAGAAGTTAAATTCAAGTTCAAAGCTTAAATTCGGCATGAATACTAAAAGGCAAACTCCCACGCGGAGTCCACATATAGAAGAAGAAGAAGTAAAAAGAGCAAAGGTGGTCTAGTCTTCATCTTCGCCACTCCCCGAGTTGCTCGCAAAGCCCTCGTCCGAAGTAGTCGGAGTTGCTGACTCCTCTTCCAAAGCCTTCGCTTCTTCAAACTCGGCAGAGAGATCGAAACCTTTGGCATGCACTTCCTCAAAGGCCTGCCTCCGAGCTTCTAATCGAGCATGTGCAAGGGTGCGAGCCAGTTTGAGCTCAGCCTCTTCAGATATCTTCCTGGCTCAAGTATTCTCTTTAGCAGCGTCATCCCAATATGAGGATAGGAGTGCATCAGCTTTAGACTTAGCTATGGATAATGCGGCAACTGACTCAGCATGAAGCACCTTGAATTTGTGATCCTCCTCTTTAGCACCTTGAAGAAGACTCTGGGTTGAGGCCTGCTCCCCTCGAAGAGTATCCCTTTCCAAGTTCATGTTATCCTTGTACCGCTTCAGCTCAAGGATCTCGACATCTTTGGCCGCAATCTCTTCCTGAAGCTACTCCGCTAGGGCATCCTTGCGCTCAATATGCAAATTCCAAGTCAAGGTCATAAATACCAAGTTATGAAAACAAAAAGTAAGCTCATGAATACCGAAATACCTGCTCGATGAAGTTGGCCCACCCTTGGAGCACTTTCTCCGAGCTTGCTCGAAGGCTGCTCAGTTCCTCCTCCCTTCGGGCGTATAGTGTTTTTAGCTCTTTCGACTCCGAAGCAAGCTTCTCGAACTCATCCTCACAATGAGTCAATGCAGCTCTTAACTTGGAGAAGGCCTGGTCGTACAACATCGTGACCTATAGCACGGAGGAAAGAAGTTAGAAAACCAAAGATCAAAACTCAAGGCACAAAGGTTATGTCAAAAATCACCTATTTTTTGAGTTTTGCAGCCTCCTCGAGGACGACTGGGGCATCGAGATCAGCATCCTCTTCAAAACCAGTAAAAAATCTCCAAATGCATCATCCTCTCCCCAGGATGCCCCCCACATCGGGAGTCTCCCTATTCTGGGCGTCTCGTATTTGCCTTGGGGAAAACAACGGGCGTGGCTGAAGATCGCCTATGACATCAACTTCTATCGGGGCTTCTTCTTGCCCTCGAAGGGCCTCAGAGCTGGATCCTCCAAATGCGCCAACCAAGTGCTCATCGACACAAGTTGTATCCTATTCATTGGTCAGCTTAGGGACTGCATCCAAACCCTCCTCCGGGGTCTTCTCAATACGAGGTGGGACCGCATCGGCCACCTTAGACTCAGCAGTCTTCTGCTCGGCAACCTTCAAAGCATTAACACTTCATCTTACCCTATGTACCAGTGGAAAGCCATCGCCTTCTTCATCTTTAGCACGAAGACTCTCAGCAGCTTCCGAAGTTAGGATCGTTGTATCAGCCCTAGGCTTTAGAGCCTTATCTCTCTTTGGTTTCGGGGACTCCACCAGCATCTCCTTCTTTCTGTTTCTATCTTTGTCGGGTCTTTGTGTCTCCTCTTCGCCAGAAGGAGGAGGTCTCATTGAAATAGCTTCTCCGAGGCCTGCACAAGCATAAAATGCCAAACATACCGCCAAGAAATCTATTTATATGGAATTTAGAAGTGACAGTGGTGAGGGTGTACCATGATTTTTGGCCTCCCATCGAGTTTTGGCCAAATCACACCAAACACGCTTGTCATATAAGGAGGCAGAGTCTAAGAGTTTAACCCAGCCCGGGAGGTCCTTGACCGCGCTGGGGAACCATACGGTGGCTCCGTAACCGGAAGAGAATCAATTCAAATAAGAAAAGAATTAGTTCGAAAGAGGAAAAGAGGACATTCAGATGATAAAACATGCTTAGTGTAATGACATTTACGTCTCATATTCCATTCCTCAGGGAATGACATCTTCTCGGCAGGGATGAGATCCGAAGTCATGACTCGAATGAAGCGGCTCATCCACCCCTGATTTTTATCTTCGTCGATGCTGGCAAAAAATGCTTTGGTAGATCGACACCACAGTTTGACTAGGCCCCCTCGATAGAGACGAGGGCTATACAATCTAATCAGATGATCGAGGGTGAAATTCATCCCCCTGACCATGTTCGAGAAATATCTAATCAAATAGGCAATTCTCTAAAAAGAGGAATAAATTTGACCAGGCATCACTCGATACTGTTGGCAAAAATCGAGGATCACCGGGTCTATCGGTGGAGAAGAAGAATCTACAGGACCTAAGGTAAAGGGATGCGTATATATGCTAAGGAAACCAGCTCTTTGCGTGGTTATATCCTCATCCGATGAAGGGATCTCTACTTATACCGTCTCTCCCCAACGGCAATCTATTTTCACTTTCTTTTTGTCGGTTATTAGACTAATGTACTGAGACATGGGCTCACATCGACCCGGTGCCGAAGAAGGTTTTTCAATTTTGAAATCGGAGGATGTATCGAAGGGCCCAGGAATACACTCCTCAATACGAGGAGGCGCTATCTTTTTGCTCTTGGTCGAGCGTGACGAAGAAAGGGCTTCCTCTTTTTGAGGTACTGTCTTAGAAATTTTGGCTATGGTTACAGCAAAGTTTCAAAGTAAGCTGACGAAGAAGTGAACACAGAAGAAGGATAAAGACAAGAATATTAACAAAGATTAGAAGACTTGAAGATGTTGTAAGGTTTAAAAGATAGGGAATTGGATTTATAAGAATCATCTAAGTGTATTGGAGGAGTTAAAAGGGCGGCTAATAGCGGTTCTTAGGCTTTTAGAGAACCGTGTTTGACAAGACCTCTGTACAACTTTTTTGTCACGCCATTTAGTGATCTCACCTGGCTGACGTCACAATGGGAGTATCGAAGAGGCAAGAACTCAAGATAGTTTCTTATCACTTCGTTATAAGAACACACGGGGACTATCTGTATACGGCCAAAATTGGGGAGTTCGACTTTGTGGCTACTGTGGAACTCCACGCTCAACCCCGAGAATCTCGAAGGAGAATGCGAAGTGAGACCCCGAGGTGTGTCCCTCGAGGGAGCACATCGAAGGTTCACTATGGTCAATCTCGGAGCAGGACCAATCGATGATCGTCATTGAAAGGCGGGAAAGCCCCAAGTACACGTGGTTAGAACTGACCAGGTCTGCAAGAATAGTACAAATCCGTACTAGGTCATTACACAGCTGTACCAATAGCATTTCCTCGTCATTATTAGACATGTACTATGTTGGGATTCCCCCCTCCTATATAAAGGGGCCCCTTGTCATTTTGTAACAGACATGAATATTGAATACAATAGAACATTCTCTGCTTTTCTTGCCTAAACGTGCTCAACAATTACGTTACAAATTTATTACTTGTTCATTTATTGTTCATTGGTTCATTTATTGTTCTTCATTTATAGTTCATTGGTTCATTTATTGTTCATTATCATCCGTTAAAGGCCGCCCTCGAGGTCCTATATCGCCGAGCTCGAGGATCCCAGTCTTACGACCATATTGGTTTGCTTATCATTTCTTGCTCGTTTACACTTAGCATTATTCACATAACAACTAGTATTAAGATAAATCACGTATTTTTAGAACCACAAATCAAATATAATTGTTATTACCATTTTCAAGGTAAACAATATCTAAATATAAAGTGGTAACGAGTCTTTTTCTTGTACAAAATGCATAATTCCTTTTTTCCCTTTAAACATTTAAGAGAAAATATAAAAAAAATTCTTTCACACATCTATTCAAAGAAATCCCCATTGTTGCACTTTCCTAACTTCTACGTGATTTATCAATATATAAAGAAAATTTTTGTTTTCTCGAGGACCCAGCTCTAGAAATCTATTTGCAGAAAATCAAAATAAAAAAGAATCCTTGAATAAGTTATTGTTTTAATCAATGATGAAAGTTTATTTTGTTGTCAGATTGCTAAATCTAAAGCAGGACAATTGTATATAATATCGAGTGAGTTAATTTTCATAAAAAATATAAATTGAAAAATATCCGTAAACTTTCTTAATATTTAGAGTGCTTATTAGTATAAGTTGTTGCCTTAAGTATCTAAATATAAAGTGATAACGTGTCTTTTTCTTGTACAAATTGCATAATTTAGTTGAATTTTTATATTTTTTTCAAAGTTATCATAATTATTGCGTAATCGATTTGTTCATATTTACTTCAAAAATGAATATTTCGAATCGAAACCCAAATTGACCAAATCGATTAAATTTATATCTTATTTAGACAATATAAATTGTAATATGAATAAGTTAAAAAATTGTCACCGGAGCCTCTAAATCCTGCATCCGCGTGACATGTAATGTAAATATTTGCCTCTTTTGGTTTTGAAAATATACCCATACACATATGTCGTCTAGTACCGAATAGTTATTTTCCTTCTTAACAAGACTCGATGCCGTTTCGTCCACTTTTCCTTGATTTTTGAACTCGAAATCAGAACTTGATTCTTTGCACTTGCGATTTGCTTCCTCTCTCGATTTCACCTTCTCTGAACCCCGGGACACCAGCAAAGCCCTATTTCTAAACCTATATATGGCTCAATCCAGCGATAATGTAAGTTCAGCTCTTTCCTTTATTCTTTTTTTTTTTTTCAGATTAGGCGTTCATCTAAGTGCATGTGTTGTTACTTTAATTCAATTGATGTTAATGCTTGCTAAGTTTCAGGTTGTTGGAGTTGATAATACTTTTCGGAAAAAATTCGATAAAGAAGAGTATTTGCAGCGTGCTCGTGAACGTGAAGAAAAGGTTCTTTTTCTTAATCCCTATGATTAATTGCTGCACGTCTTGCTTATTTTTTAGCTTTGCTTTACTGGTTTATTTGAGTTCCTCTTAATTGATGTTGGGTTATTTACTATTTTGTGTAGGAGACAGAGGGAAAGAAATCCAAGTGTAAGACAATTGCTTCATCACTTCTCATCATTCTGTTTTATTTACTTCCTGCATTCATAGAGCATTGAACTCCTATAAACATTTTAACAATCAAATCAATGAATCAACTGTACCTCAATCCTGAATTATTCCAGATTAGGTAGGGTAGGTTATATGAATCATTTATAACCATGAATTCCTTATATCCATTCTACTCTATCAAGATCCAGTAGTCCGGAGATTTATCATAGTTAGATAATGTATACGCTGCTATCTCCCACCAGTGCTGGTGGGAGGTAGCACTTACCCGGTGGAATAGTCGAGGTGCGCTAAAGCTGGTCCAGACAGACACCACCATAATAAATAAATAAATAAGATCATTTAAACGTGTATTACCAATTTTGTGAAACCCTCTTCCTTTATCTGGACTTAGGACTGACTATCATTGTGAAACTCACATAGATGGAGTTGATATTAAACATCATACATTAGTAAAAGTGCACAATTATTGATGCAGCAAGAGGACCTCCAATACAAAGGAAGCCCTTGAAACAAAGGGATTATCAAGTCGACCTTGAATCTCGCTTGGGAAAGACTCAGGTTAGCAACTCTATTATCCTCTCCATCCCTCCCTGTGTTTAGTTTTTACTATGGTGTGTTCGGTTATCAGCGAAAATTTAATATTTTTATTGAATGGAACATTTACTTTGAAGATTTGGTGTATTCTTGTCTATGAAGTTCTGCATCCTGTGAGAAATATCCGTCAGAAAGATCATAGTACAACAGGTTTTGTAAATTAGACGAGCTGTTTTTTTGGTTTGGGTGTAACTTTTCAGACAACTTCAAGATTTTAGATATCTTTCATAATCTAATGTCACTTAAAGCTCTAATGGTTTGAATATATGATGGATAATACCTTTTCTTTCCATTTTCAAGCTACAGCGAAACCACAACTCATTCAATTGGAATGGAGAATAGTTGTGGCCTCTGGTGATTTTCAACTATCATTTTTTCATAGTGTTGAAGGGGAGCTTTGGAGCAACTATAAAGTTGTCTCTGTGTGACCTATAGTTCATGGGTTCGAACCGTGGAAGCAACCACTAATGCTTGCACTAGGGTAGGCGGTCTATATCATACCTCTTGGGTTACGACCCTTACCCGGACCCTGCGTGAACGCGGGATGCCTTGTGCACCGGGCTGCCCTTTTTATTTTTTCATAGTNCCCCCAGCCCTCTGCCATTGTCCTGCCACTATTATAGAGATCTGAATTTGTTTTGTTGTTGACATAGGAATCAGTATCTTCTTAACCAATAGCAGAACAGCTGGTAGGTTAAACATAAATTTAAAAGGAGAGTTACTGAGATTTGGGACTACGAAGAATGTCACTCCACTTCCTTTTATCTTTTTTCATTTTGACAGTTTCAATTAAATCAGAAAGGAGACACAGAAGTCTGACCCTTGTATAAAACCTTGCTAGTGATTATATCTAAAAGTTTAAGACTATAGAAGCTAAACATAAAACAATCTACCAAAAGATAATTATCTTTTGAGATCCGTACATTCTCCAAATTTGAAGAGCAAAAGGAGACACAGAAGTCTGACCCTTATATAAAACCTTGCTAGTGATTATATCTAAAAGTTTAAGACTATAGAAGCTAAACATAAAACAATCTACCAAAGATAATTATCTTTTGAGATCCGTACATTCTCCAAATTTGAAGAGCAAAATAGGATTGAATTTGTTTCAGGTTCATTATGCTTTCTAAATACCTTCTTGGTATCTCCACCTAATTATCTCAGAAAGACACTAGTGATGTGTTCCTTGGATTTGTTTCTTCTCCTAAACAAATCTTACCAATAGAGTGGCAAAACTTGGACATAGAAGAGCATCTCCTGCTTATAGTGGCAATGCTAGTTTGATGATCTTACTAGGCAATATTTTCCATTTCTACAACAGCGAAGGGCCAAATATACCCCTCTACTTTCAAATATTGTTTACCTGTACCCTTCGTTATACTATTGGGCTATCCATACCCCTACCGTCATACTTTGGAACAAAAATACCCCTATTTTGGATGGAGTGCCACATGACACCAGATTAAAATGACCCATTTCTTTTTTTTACCCAACCCATTTTACAAAAAAAACCCACAACCCGAACCATATTTTCATTTTTTAGTTTTTTTAAAGAATTTTCTTTTTGTAAAACTTAAAAAAAATTGCAAAATATTTTCGTTTTTGTAAACTGAGTAGATACTGAAAAAATTTTGCAAAAAAAATTGTAAAAACCGAAAAAAAATCGTTTTTTTAACAAAATATTTTTTTTGTAAAAGCTGTAAAAACATATTTGTTAAAACTGAAAAAAATTGTAAAAACTGGAATTTTTTTTTCAGTTTTTAACAAAATATTTTCCTTTTTTAAAAACTGAAAAAAATATTTCCAACAAAATATTTTCGTTTTTGAAAAATGTTTTTTTTATCATTTTTTTCATTTTTTTTAAAGATTTTATTTTTGTAAAAACTGAAAAAACAAATTTGTATAAACTGAATTTTTTTTGTAAAAACAGAAAAAAACATTTTCATTTTTTAAAAACTGAAAAAATTATTTTCAACAAAATATTTTCGTTTTTGAAAAATATTTTTTTTTCAGTTTTTCAGTTTTTTAAAAGAATTTTGTTTTGTAAAAACTGTATTTTTCTTTTGTAAAAACAGAAAAAAAATATTTTTTGTTTTTTAACAAAATATTTTCATTTTTTAAAAACTGAAATTTTTAAAAAAAGCTGGGAAAAAATGAAAATAGGGGTCGGGTTGTGTTTTTTTTTAAAAACGGGTCGGGTAAAAAAAAAAGAAATGGGTCATTTTAATCCGGTGTTGCCACGTGTCACTCCATCCAAAATAGGGGTATTTTTGTTTCAAAGTATGACAATAGGGGTATAAATAACTCAATAGTATGACGGTAGGGGTATAGATAGCCCAATAGTATAACGAGGGGTACAGGTAAACAATATTTGAAAGTAGAGGCCTAGAGGGATATATTTAGCCCTTTGCCGTTTCTATAAATATTCTTACTAAGCAATATTGACAATGGAAGAATGTGAAACTCAACTTGTTTAGCATTAAAGCATAGAAAGGTTAAGGAAGTTAGTTTTCCTGCCTTTTCCTTGTATTATTGGGAGGAAAGTCTAATTTCCTCACTGATTCTTTGTTCAGTCAAAATCAAAAGTTTTTCTCCGTATTAAGTTGCACAAAGTTCTAGGGAAGTAATAAGAGCCTTACCTTTCCCCATGTCATGGCCAACTTAATTCCCTTTCCCTATGTCATGGCCAACTTAATTCCCTAGTCTTTCCCAAAAAAAAAAAAAAACAGAATATGAACAACTTTTTTCTTCAATTGATCACCAATTTTTGTGTCATGGCTTTTGTTACATCAGTTAAACAAAAAACTGACCCCATCAAATCTACCTTTTACCAATTCAATAATTTTATGTGCGGTGATGGACACTTAGCTAATTTTTGTTGGAAAAATATCATATATCAAGGTGAATAGGAGGGCTTAAGCAGTGTAAATTGATCCCTGGAATCCCCTACACTTTTGATACAAAAGAGACCTCTCACCATAGAGAAAACTGAGCAACAAAGAACCAACTATCAGGCGTCCCTTGCATTGTAGAACAAGCTTATATATGATTTCTTAAGAGTCTACACAAATGAAGGAACAACAGATGCTTTTGATAAAATGGAACATCAGTTAACATGCAGAACATCATTAACTTGCATATCTTTTTATTTTGGATATTTTGCCATTAAGTGTTGTCACTCAGGGAAGAGTAGCAGAATCATGGGGTCCATCAGATATGCACACGTTTTTCATGGAAGGATTTATTAGCTGCAGGAGACAAACTGTAGTTATTGCCTCATTGATGTCTGGTCCTTGCGGTTGAGTTAAGGAGATAGGCTAAGCTGTAGGTGGTGTCACACCTCCTTTTTACCACCCAAGAGAGGTACAAGGGAGTTTTTCCAATTAAAGTGACATTATTCGAAATGAGATTTTTATTTAAGTATCAGAGTCGCCACTTGGAATAGTTTATTTGGTGTCCCAAGTCACCGGTTTATTTTTAAATCCCAAATCGAGGAAATTTTCAACTTTATTTAAAAGTCTGCGAACCAGAAATTCTAAATAAGTAATTCTGTTAACCCGGGAGAAGGTATTAGGCATTCCCGGGTTCCGTGGTTCTAGCACGGCCGCTTAAACTATTAATATTGGCCTATTATCTGATTTACTACATGTTTTAAACCTATTGTGCATTTTAGCTTTTATAACCGCTTTTGATAATTTTAAAACCGCTTTTAGGAAGATTCAACGTTATTTAAAACATGCCTTGAACCACGCTACATGAAATGCACCCGCGGTTCGCAACACGTTCTATTCAACATTATTGAGGAATTGAAATTGGGTTACATGAAATGTACACCCGGAATTTAAAAATCACAACTACGTCACGGGAACCGTACCCGTAGCTATGTTTGAATTATTTAAAGAACGTGCCTAAAGCAACTACGAAGGTTCAAATTTAGAAGCAACATTTGTGAGGGCCATGGATAATTTAATTGATGGCACGCCTCGAATTTTCTATAAGAGTTAACTAGTTTTATGAGGGCCGTGAGTTAAGGGCTTTGTTTGGTTTGGCACACCCCAATTGATTTTAATAGAGGTTTATTTAATTAAGGGATTCTAAGGATGTTCTTATTTTAAAACTTACCTAAACTTAACAAGGAAGCTATTGATTATAAACTAATATTGGGGTGCATACATTGGACCTAAATCAATTAAAGGGAATTAGGCCAGCAGTGGCCCGCTAGGTCTTTTGGTTAGGGATCGACGTAGTGCCTGAAAGGCATTGGGCTTGAAATCAGCCCAGAAATGAGAAAACCTCAAAGGCCATCGACACCTTTGACCTTCAGCCAGGTCTGCCCATATTTGGGCTTACAATAGGTAGGCCCAGTTGTGGCTATTATTGACTGGGCCTATCCACCTTTACATTTATATGCATTGGTCGAAAATGCTAAAAAAAGAAAAAAAAACTCATTCTAAAAGATCGAAATACAAAGCTAGTCTAAAAATTAATTTCACTACATTGATTGGCAAGATTCATAAGACATACACTTGTAATTTACTAAAGAAAAAACATCTACAGCTGGGCTGAGCTGTTGAGTCCAAACTGTCCAGGCCCAATGGCCTAGATCAAACTTGCTCGAATGAACCCAAGACTTGGGCCTGTTCGCAAGTGCAACCCAGTTTATACAACCATAAACATGTTCATTACAAAAGGAAAATCTACTATTGAAAGTCCACTAACAACTAAACTTAAATTGAAATTAACAGTCCATTTACAATATTACCAGTTCAAGACTTTTTACAAGAAGGATTTTAACCCAATGAACCATTATCCTGACAGTCCCTCACAACTAATATTTAAAAAAAGTTCTAAAAAAAAGGTAAATAAAAGGAAGATGTCTTCTAGCCTTGAATTTTTGCCATCAAGCTCTTTACAACCAATGTACCAGCTTGCAAGAGATCAACTACAGAGCTGTTTCTCACAAG